ATGCTGAGTACAAGAAATTTTACTTCAACTATTCAATACTTCACCGATGAAGTATGCTATTCCTATGGCAAAGTTATTCTTTTTATGTTGAAATCTATTTCAGAACTGACCTATAAGAGTAGTTGCATGGAATGAAGTAGACTAGCCTATCCTTACTGCCACGTCGACTTGTGAAGGCTCTTGCGACTCTGAAACAGATTTTACGTTACAGAACATCTTTTAAAACAACAGGAACGTTTTGGTAAGTTTAGCTAATCTTAAAGCGGAAATAAAAATCTGCCCTTGCTGTGTGTTTATTTGTAAAAGGCACGTTAGATTAATACCTTGACTATAGATAAGATATGCAAAGACTACTCCTTCCGCCGTTAGGCGACGTTGATTAGAGTGAGATGTGCATCAGCTCAGTGATTATCGTTTCATAAATTACGTTCAAGCAAAGAGCTCAATATAATTAGTGGAATGATAGCTCACGATTCTTGATTATATGATGAACCAGGCACAGACTGTAACTGATTCAGACGTTGAAGAGCCTCTGTGGCGGTCATTGGCGCTGTCGCATCTATACTATCCGCGTAGAAGATGAAGGCATACCGTTGATCCACATCATTCATGTGTCGGATCGCTTCTCGCGAGTTTTTTGCATTCTGAGAGAAACGCAAATTTGATTATTATTAGTCACCTTTTTTTTCGTAAATAAAATGTCAATTTATGCTCTCGGAAAAAGAATTCGAAAATCTCAGAAGGGACGTCTGAAAGATAGATAGAAACATCCTTCATGCTGCAAATTCCCTAAAATGTTGACTTTCTCCAAGTGAAGTGCGTTCAAAAAAGCCACCTTCTTCCAATGTTCACATGTCAATTGTATTAAAACCTCTTCACATTGGTTTTTTTGGATATGATAGAGATATGAACGAAGCTAAAGTATACTTTCATGTCAACATGTGCATAATCGATAGAGCACGTGCGCTAACAACCTTTTACGAACTGAAACTTTCAAATCTCCAAAATGTACATTTGGAAAGTACTGCTGATAAGACAACCAACTTATTTAAGAGTTATTCTAAAAGTGTATCAAAGAATGTGAAAAGGTGTCACTCTGATAAAGTATTTCGGCAAGTTTCCTGTATTTGCTTAGTCAGAAGTGATGCTCATATATTAAGACTCTTAAGACTATATTGCTAATACTTCCAAACGCACTATTTCAAGACTGCAACGCTCTTGTGTAGACTTCAAAGCACGCATTCGTGACAACCCTGCTTCATCTCCAAGATGTATGGCGAAATACATGACCGGTCCCTCTTCTGCAAAGAATACTGTGGTAATCACATAGTGTTACATTTGAAATCGGCTAACAAATAATTCTCTCAATACCTGCCTTCCCCTTTTTACTAGTTAATACGAATGCCACAACAACACCGACAACGATGAGGACTGCGACGAATGCGCCCGGCACTCCCCACTTTAAGGACTTCATTTTCCTAGACTATGCTTAAATGCGGAAAAACTTTCTAAAAAAGAAATTTCTGAATAGCCTGCGAACTCAAAGAAAGGCGATACAAGTTCGTTATTATTAATTGATGGATGCAGACTGAGTAGCCTAGAAATGACTATGACCA